TTCCGGCGTATGCGCAAAAGGGTATCCACCCCCGCCCCGACACACACGCACTCACTTCATTGTTTTAAATGATTTTCTCTTAACAGTTTAATTGAAGTTCAAATGAGATTTCAGAGTCTGGGTATTACTTTAGTTATATTTTAAGATATGAAGAATCAAATGAAGGGATATTTCAATTCACAAATCTCACAATTCTCCATATAGATAGGGCTGGAGAAGTTTAATGAGAACAGAAATGTCATTTTTTATGAATCTCACAAAAATGTCGTTGAAAATTGTGATTTAAATTCCCGGAAATCTAAACTTTGATTGGACGATGCAAGTGACTATGATAGCTATATTTTGCTCAGTTGACAATGTAGTTTAATCGCTACTCACTGAAAGTTGAAATTTTATGAAGGGGTGTTGATACAGAAATATTTGTAGGGTGGCACATATATATTAATAATATATATTTTTCGTATGGGGCACAAATAAAATTTAGGATGATCAGTAAAATGAACGACTAGCATAAATAAATTCGGATTTCGGGGTGGGCACCCATCCACCCTGAGCAACCCTTGCATCCACCACTGGTCCGTGCAATTCGTTTTCCTTCTATTTGTGACCCAAAAAGCTTAACAGAAAGATGGATTTGGTGAAGTTTATATGTTATGAATAACATAACCACGGTCATCTTTTCTAGGTATGTATGTAAGTGTATGTGTATTGATTCATCACCTTGTCTTGCTATTACATCTGGTTGCTTATAAAGCTTTTCAAGTTTTATTAAGTAGGTTGAGAAGTCAACTGCTTCTGTGTTTTTTCCTCTCAAATTTTGGGTGGCTTTATTTTTTATGTGTTATTTTTTAAACCAGTGTTCTTATTGCCAAATGGCTTTCTTTGTCTCCCTTGAGCTGGTATTTTGTTTCCGTCCATGTGCTCACTGAATATATTTAACAATGATGGTATTACCTTTCCATTGCTTGAGCAGCTGATATGATGGTAAAACAAAAGCATATAACGGCAACCTTTAAACTCAAATTATGATAGAGAAATATGACAATATCCTGAAAATTTTGCCTCAGCTTCATGCCACACAAACTAATAAATGCCGATATACTAGTAGTAGTCATTTAGGTGTGTGGTAGAGAGAAGGATGTCTTTGGTTTAAAGCGCACTACTGAAGCATAAACGTGCTGTACGCCCAATATTAGTCAAGATAAGCTTCTGCTGACTGTAGTTGAGCATGCTTCCTTCATTTTTCATGTTGTTGTTTCTGATAGTTTTATATCCCAGTTCAACGGTTTTGTTGCAAAAGAAAGAGAAGAAAAGGCAGGTAAACAATGATGCTTGTCTTGAGGCATTGTAAAGCCACATCTGGAAGCCTTCTTATACTTGATACTCCTTAAGGGTCTCCCTATTTCATGGTTAACTTTTGACCATATACTTGTTCTGTCTAATTTTAAATATTTACGAGGCTTCGGAAATCAAACTTTAAAATTTGTTTAATGTATGGCTAATATCTCTATTCCTGTAACATGTTATGGGTATTGCTTGACATTTTTTAGATGATTGTAGTTTTGTTTCACCATCCAAAGAAAGTAGAAAAGTTTCTACTGCGAACTTTTCAAGCTGAGAAAGGACCCATAAAAAAGCAGCTAGTTTGGTTGGCTTTTACACTACTTATTTTGTGCATGCACCAGGCACAAAATTAAAGCCTGACCTTTAGTTATGCGTTATTGATCTATTTTCTGAAGATAATAGTAGTTTTTCGATTTACTTAAACTTTGAGTACGATATTGTGATAACGAAGAACGTGTTGTGTTTTTATAGATTGCTCGCATGCTTACCGTTAAGCGAGAACGAGAGGTGGAGGAGGGCATCAACAAGCGATTGTCAAGAAAGCTGGATAGGCAATGGAAGAAAAGCATTGTTGTGAAGCCACCCCCATCTTTGATCAAGTTGAGAGAGCAAGAGGCGGCAGAAGAAGCTGAGAAATCCACAGCTTGAATGAGCCACTCTTAGATTCTTAGACATTTTCATGGCTTGAAGTTTCTATTTTTAGACCCGTTTTATGGGAGCATTTGTTTTATACAATTTATGAAGAAAAGCTTTTAACCAATTAAAACTCGTTTTATCTATAAATAAATGGTCTTGTTAACAAATCTATGTATACTAAAATTAAAAGTTATCCGATGCTAGATTTTCAATTTGAATATATGAATTAGAAAATAAGTAGCATTGTCTTTAATTCGAATTTGTAGGATTAATTTCGTTGACAAATACAATAAAATTTGGTGAATTTCTTTTAGCACCAAATCTTTTATTTGTTTAAGGTTAATTAGTAATGGTATTATGTTTACATATTTGATACATTCTTATATTTGTGTTTTATTTATAATATTTTATATCGTGTCCTAATTGTGTTGTTTTTTTTCTTCATGAATTTGTGTCACATAACCACGTTATCTTTAAAATTTTCAAGTTTAATTTACATTATTAGAATAATTCCCAATTTGTATTATATGTTAGTGTTACTTTTATTAGAATAATCTCCTACAAATTCTTTGACTGGTGGTTTCCCCTCAGAGGTTGGTAACATGGCGCACTTAAACTGCTGAATCTGCAGACAACGACTTATCAGGCCAGCTGCCTAGTGAACTAAGCAGAGTTAGTAACTTGGAATACCTTGATTTATCTGGTAACAACTTTGAAGGGAAAATACCTTAATGAATTTAATGTGTCCTATAATGATCTGTCAGGTCCTATTCCTGAAAATTTGAGAAGCTTCCCTCAGACCTCAATCTTCATTTTCTTCAGGAAACAGGTTACTAATTTTCCCCTAAATAAATGGCATGCCATCAGCAAACTCTGCTCAAGGGGGAAGTTGTTTGCAGTGTCTTTGAATTTGTATTAAATGATGATTCTTTTGATCACCTAACTGGCTAATTGAAACAATATCAAGAGTTTTAAGGTTACAGCCTAAATGTGGAGAAATATTCAAACGTGCAGGTTTTCATTACAATTGTCATGCATGCAAACTTGGTTATGTACTTCTATTGCAGGTGTTCATGAATTCATTTTGGGTTTTCATTTTGACTGAAAGTTGGCGTAGAAGTTCCTCACTGTGCCAGTCGCCAGCGATTACGGTGTTTGCCTGACTGATTATTCCCTTCACCGGCTGATGACACCAACTGGCACTGCAGAGCAGATATTGAATCTGGGAGCCCTCCGGAGCTGGCTCATGCGTCTAAACCAGTGCTATCATTGAAGGCATGTGTACGCATTTGGAGTGGTCCTGATGGAATTGTTAACAAGAAGTGCAGGAGACGTGAATATCAGGGCAATCAGGAGCTATGGTTGTGACAGATTGGGTTAAATTATGTGATGAAGGGACTGTATTGACGGAGACATTGCAAGCGGGGAAGAACACACTAAAGAGATGGATGATTTGCTAGCCATATCATTCAGCCTCACCTGTCAGCTGGAAAAATTCAAATCCAGGACTGTTTTTGGTTATAAAGCAATAGTCCAGGAGCTGGACTTAATAAACAAGAGGCAACTAGCAGCCTTGCAACATACTTACCTGGATGGGGTCAGTGGGTGATATTCAAGGCCCATGGCCTAGGTTAGCGACCTCCATTGCACTTGGGAGGGTCGCTCGCCTAATGTCTCCCCAAAGTGGGAGAGCCTACGTCATAATTTGTGACAGTGGGGGCCTGCGTTGGCGTGGCCCCATCCAATCCTAGTTCAAAAGTTAATTTTGCTCAGCATATAATTATGTTCCCTAATTAAGCATCGTTAAGTCCAACCTTAATATTTGGATTATGCTTTCGAAAACTAATCGGAAAAGGCATTGTAATTATGAGTCTATACCCTTTGCAGCTGCCAAGAATGCCAATCTGCTTCCGGTATTACCACTTTTCATTGGCTCGACCATAATGGACTTCATCATGGAGGAGGATTCGTTTTCCTCATTCCATTCCTTGATCAATAACGAACAGCCTCTTAAAAGATCCATTTTTGTAACATTGGAAGATTTTTTTTTCATTTACATTATGGTTGATTGGGTCCGACGACTGCCTGTTGTTTGCGAGTGCGACTATGAAAGCCTGTGATGAAGTCCTTAAAAAGAGGTATGATGGATTGACAAGTATTGCAGGGAGGATGATTACAGTGATCGGAGACTTGGCAACTCAAGCTTAGGGGCTTAATTCTATGCTAAGTTGGTGAGACCCCAGAGCTACTTCATTGTTCATGGCCTTTTGTTTAATCGCTTCTATAGCATTCTCTCTTGTTCCTTGTCGCTTACTTGCACTTGGATTTGGCTTTTTTTTTCGCGATGAGGCATCCTCGATTTCGAATCACCACTCCTTCACTGCCCCAAAACTTCTTCAAAAGATTGCCTGCAAGAACATATGGTATGATATGAGAAGGTGCTGCAGTCTGAGGATAAGAGAGGAGTGTTTCGGATATCGGATTTCGAACCCGAACCTGTTCAACGTTCAAAGAAAGCCATGCAGATTCTTTACTTTTACTGTTTTTTCGGTATACATGGGAGTTTCACCCTTCAAACCCATATTTGTGAAGTTTAAAAGTGCAGTGCAAGAACTAACTAGATGAGTTTTCTATGAATTTACTATTTTTGACTTGGGACGCAATATGGGCATTTGGTCTAGTGGTATGATTCTCGCTTAGGGTGCGAGAGTTCCCTTGTTCAATTCTCGGAATGCCCCACTATTCTTAATAGTTTTGATTCCTTGGGAAGTTTGGGCGAGATCTAACGTCTAATTTTTTCTTTATGTTTTTATTGGTTATATTAGTGATTTCTTACTAGTAAAGGTTAGTATTTTAATTGAGTGAAAAAAATTTAGTTGAATTGATGAATCTTATTTTATTATTTTAAAATTGATTGAATTAAATATATTAATTAAATTAAAAATTTTAATAGATAAAAGCTAATGAAATTGATTAATAAGTCTGCATCTTTTTTTTCCTTTTTCTCTGATTTATTATTTTCTATGATTGTAATGAAATTATTGATCTTTTTATGTGATTGGTTTGTTGAAAATAGTTCTTTCCACCATGACCTGGTTGCACCTTTTCAGGTTGAGTCTCCTTTCCCACCTTCAGATAAGATTGGTATTAACTCAGTGCAGAGAGAAGCTGAAGAGATTGTTCCTATGAAACAAATGAAAATGGACTGGGTTCCATATATTCAACTTGAGAATAGGTGCCCAATTTCTATCTTCTGTATCCTTTTCTTTTATCATATTATTTATTTAATTTAAGTCATCTATATAGTTAGCCAAGGTAATAAATGAAATTGTCTATTTTTCCTTTTTATTAAGCCTGTGTTTGAATTGATCTAAATAAAATTTTGATTCTTAAGCCTGTGTATTTTGATTCTTAAGCCTGTGTATTTTGATTCTTCCACAGAGGCAACCAAGTTGATAGGCTGAAATCTCAAATATTCATCTTAAGCTGTACTCAGAGAAGGTATAATTTGCATACCAACACTTACTCCCCTCTTTATTTTTGTTTCTTTTGCATGCAATTTTCAACTACATCCAATTAAAGTATCTTGATTTGATCTGCTTTTTGTTTGAGATTGTCAACTCGGTTCACACTCACATGTGCTTCTTTTGATTGTCTACAAAAAATTGCTGTTTTAAATGTAGACTTGTATATATTTTTGTGTGTGGTTGGGGTTTTAAACGTAGACTTGTATATATTTTTGTAGTAAACCCTTGGGAGATTTTGGTTAATCTGGAAAAAAAAACAGGAATAGTGGAGATCTATGAGCAATAGTTTCAGGAAAAATTGGCAAGGGCTAGTTATTATGTTTGGCCTGATCAATGTGTTGGGTATGATGTTCTGATTCAACCCCCCAACTCCCAAAAAAAAAAATTTAGCCATGGCTATGAGCCTCACTAGAGCCTTTGAACAGAAGCGTCACATACTGTATGAAGGCAACAATATGTTAAAAGTAACCATTGGAGCAAGTTCGGTAAGTTAATGTACTCCTTCCTTAAAAAAGTTAGCACAGGTCAGAGACGGCAGAGAGAAAAGAAAAGGGTTTGTATTATGATTGTGATGAACCATATATGGTTCTACATCAATGTAAGAAGCCCTTTTGGTTGGAATTAGCCAATCAAGATGGTGTAGAACCAGAAACAGTGACTGAACCGGGTAGATTATATCGTGAAGTATTGTGATTTTCGAGCTAGATGACAAGCTCTTTTCCGGGAGGGGTATTGTTGTGTACGTTAGACTCCTATTATATTATATTATATTATATTATTTTATTTTATTAGTCTTTTTATTTATATTATTAGGATAAGTTAGGAAAGAAGTTTTATATTTAGTAGGACCTTATTTACTTTCTTCCATTATTGTAATATCTATTTAAAGAGACTTATGGAATAATAAAAATAAAATTAAGCAGAATTTTATCAAAAGCCTAAAAAGATCTTGGTCTCTCTTTTTAACGAGTCATGGTCCCTTTGATGAGTTGAAAGGTTTCAGTCTTCCTTCGACGAGATGAGTGATCAATCACCATAGGTCGTTCCAATAATAACAATAAAGGGAAGGCAATCGCTTCCAAGGTTCTCGTTAATCGACCAGTGACACGATCGCATACAAGGGACCAAAACAAACACAATGGAACATACTATGCTTTACTTCTGTTAGGTGACAGCTTTCTTTAGGCTTTTGTGCCTCAGGCAATATTGGGTGTTTAAGCGCCTAGATTGCACCTGTCCTTGACAACATTGGAGCTAAGCCAACCATTTGATAGTTTAAACAATTCTTAAATTTGTCTTGTATAGATTGTAATATGTTATCAGTGCAAGCATATGGACTTCAATTTCTTTATATTATGTCATCTCTCCTGAGTGTGGGTCTGTATATGTTTCTGTTGAATGCATGCTTGTATTCCGATCTAACTTTTTGTATTTGATGTTCTTTCTGCAGGGTTGCTTTGAAACAAATGAAAATAGATCGTCTCAAGAAATATGAGTATTGTCTGCCGTGTGAGTTCTCTAGATATCTCTGGATGTTAAATTGCTGGATTACGCATTTGCTTCGCATATCTTCTGTTTATTTTGATGACTTGTCAAAGAGGAAACTGTGAGAAAAAGAAGGAAAAAACCCTTATTTATCGCAATGTTGTTTGGCCTGTCGCCATTGACAGATTTCTATCAGCCTTTGAAGGAAGATGAGCTTGAACAAAGCACTGAGGTTCAAATAATTTTTCCAGCAGAACCAAAGCCGGTAAGATTTTTGTATTTTCTGAGAAAATTAATTATGGCTTGATTTTATGTATATTTAAATTGTTTATACTCCTGGATAGAGTTTGTCATAGAGATTGAGCTTACCATGCTTTGGTAAATGAACTGTTGCATTTAGTGTAGTTGCAAGCAGGGTTTCAAATCACGGTCCGAAAACGTGATAGTGCCCGCGAAATAGCGGATTTGCCGCCGTCCGAGTTACCCGCTACACCCGCAATAGTGCCCAATAGCGCCCATGACGGCCACAATCACGGTAAACCCGAAATGACCGAAAACACGACCGCAACTGCGATTTGAAACCCTAGTTGCAGGCACCATTTTAAGGTTCGTGGCAGAAATTAGGTGCTTGCATGAGTTAAGCAAAGAGTCAATTGCTAAAAAATCACGTCATACACGATTACACGTGCACTTGTACATATGAATGCATCTATGATGCTCCCAACAGTTAGAAATAGGAGGTTTGAAGTTCAAACCTTATCAAATGTGGTTTCCGAATGCACCAATGCATTTTTTATTCTTATAAAGTAAATGTTGGAAAAAAAGTTTTCTCCCTTTGCATGATACAGAAATCAAGCATCACTAGTCCATCTCTTAAGTTTTCTTTACTTTTGGGGATGATCCACTAATTTTTGAATCATGAACTGTCAATCTAATGAAAATATATCTTTTAAAAAAAGAATTGAAAACAAAAAGGGAACTTATTTGAGTTATGCCTTGCACCTTAACATAGTATCTTGATTTGAGGGTTGTGCTAGAGTGTATTATGCCTTGACTACACACTATGTAACTATTTTTATCGGGATAAGTAATGAGGCTGTTACTCTGCAAAATATCACGTAAACTGATACATCCTTTCTGGTCTTGCAGGTTTTTTGTGAATTTGATTGGAGTTGGACGAACTTGATGTAAGCCTCGACTCTTTCATCATATTATGCTATAGGTTAATTAGCATGATCTTTTTGGTGATGTTTGAATCATGTGGACTGGTATCTTGGAATTTTCTTCAACAATCAGTTATTTATGCATTAGGCTTTAGTCAATCATTGTATGTTTTGGCTTTTGTATGCCGTCGTCATAGGAATCAGGTACTAAACTATACCTACCTATCTGCAGGAGTTTACTGATAAACTGATTGAGGCAGATGAATTAGAAAATGATCAGAAGGATGCTTTTAAGGTGAATCTGATTTCGAAGACCTACCAGTATCCTGTGGATTTTATGTATTATATCAACTGCTAGTTCAAGCTGACATGCTTTTGGTTTTTAGGATTTTGTCAAAGAGAAAGTTCGTGAAGCGAAAAAAGCTAACCGGAAGGTATATTTGTAGGCAACATTGCTTGTTGATTTGGTTAGGGAGCATGAATTTGGATAGGTTGATTCATTTGGCGAATTCCATTCTTATAGGCAAGAGAAGCTCGCAAAAATGCCCTTGAAGAAATGAGTGAGGACACTAAAGCAACATTTGAGAACATGAGATTTTACAAGTTCTACCCTGTTCAAACTCAGGATACTCCCGACGTATCAAATGTTAAGGTAAGTGCTTTATATACGTTTTTTGTAAAAAAGGAATCAGCTGTGTTTGTTGTTGAATGGAATTTTACAGTTTATTAGGGATAAAGATGTGATGATCAGGCATATTCCTGGAGGGGCAATTTGGGAGGCGGATAAGTTGGCTAAAGAAGGCATTGGATGAGAGGGGTTGTATGTAGGCATAGTTAGGGGGGTTTTGTTTGGTTTTTGTGGTTGTATGTTTCTGATGTAATCTAAGTTGTAATTTTCTATGGTTCAATAAAATTTACGAGACACTCTTTTTCTCCTTCCAATGCTCAACGAATTTTTCATATTTCGTTGAGTACGAAGGGGTTTTTTAATGAGGTCTCCCTATTCTATCAAAAAAAAAAGTTTCAGGCTCCTTTCATCAACAGGTATTATGGGAAGGCACATGGGATTCTCTAATGGAAGTTCATCTCTATTCAAGAATCGGGATCTAATCTAATCGAGGGATGCACTAGAGCCTGCTTTGCTTGTAAGAGTGTCGTGTCAAGCGTTTGTATGTACCGGGAAGTTCTTGGAGCACAGCTTTGGTGCGCCCCCATCACACTTATGTGCCTTAGGAGAAAGGTTTAAATTTACAGCTCCAAACTCTTAGATAATTAAAGCAGGACCTCTGCAGCATAGCAGGAATTAGTGGAATACTATATCTGCTTAGCGATCTCTTGTTCAGACTTGTTGTAATAGTAGTAGTAGTATACTATCAATTCAATTCCATTAGCCAATTACGATGTTTTCTTTATTTTTATTTTTATTTTTGTTAAAAAAAACTCTGAATTATATTGGTGTGAATCATGGGCTTTGAATGCTCTATGTTTGTACAAGAGGTTAGTATGGTCAGTCAGTTATATGTTCAGTTAGAATTGGTTAAGCCAGTTCTTATTTAATAAATTTCATAATTGAACTAATTAATTAATTTTAAGGAAATTTTCCGTTAATAAATTTCATAATTGAATTTCCTCATCAAACATCAATGCTGCAGCAGCTCTGCAACATCACACTGTGCCAAATGAGAATAGATCGAAATCTGGGACATACATAGTTTGGAGGTGACAACTGAACCGAACCAAACAAGTCTTGACCATGAGAAAGAGGCAAAGTAACCAAACCACCGACTCAAATAACTTCAATCATTCTCAAATATTTTATTTTCTATTTTAACTTGTTAATTCAATGGAACAACTGAAAGATATTGGGATTTTGGTTCTATTCCTCAAGTAGCATGCACAAGTACATTGCATTATAATATTTAGGCACAATACATTGGGAGTTCAACAACTTAGCCGTGTAACCAACAAATTATATAGTGCAGTGACCGGAAAACCAAACCAAAACTAGGAAAAGTTGACATGTTATGCCACAAATAAAACGGAATTCAATCACCATATTTATAGCTTCTTCAAAGCCATGCCACCTTCCTCCTTTAGATACACTTCAATCTGTTCCAATGCCTGACAGAACCATACTTCCATTTAGCCAACATCATAATCTGATAACACCAGAATATATAGGACAGAGAGAAAGAAAAGACCTCTGTTGCAATCACTGTTGGGGTAAGATCTGATACATCTCTATAACCTAGTTTGCCTGCAATTTCTGAAATTTTGGAACACTGGTTTAAATAAAAAAAATCATCCTGATATAGATATAAAGAAATCAAAATGAAGATACAAACCTGGTTGTCAGATCTCCAGACCATGCTTCTTGACCAATTGTATGTATCTAACAATTTGTATAGAGAAAATAAGAAACATATACATGTTGAAACTAAGTGGAAAACATAAATGGTTTCTAGGACAAACCTCTCTGAATTGAAGTGTTCCACTCCCAGGTCTTCATCCCAGATGAAAATATATTCATAAGTGGAAACGTCTGGATGAAAAAACCTTTTTGCATACCACCTGATAATATATATATATATATATATTAGCATGAATATCGGGAATGCAACAACTTATGATCCATCTAGCAAGGAAGCAATTGGAATTGAAGGAAGCGAGGAATAGGTAAAAGCTTATCATCCATTCCACCGTTTTGTTCTGTTTCTTCCATCGGCGAACTTCTCCTTCCTATTTCTTACTTCTGCCGCTGACGAGAAGAGAGAATAAAACAAATGCATTTGTGATATAGGGTTAGAGTTGTAAATTAATATTTTGCATCAAATAGAGTATTGTTAAAATATCAAAAAAGATCATACTTAGATTAAATGATTTTAATGAAATTATCTATGTCATTCCGTAATAAGATATTATGTCATCGTTAATAAATTAATGGCGATGTGATATAATTGTAACGAAACATAAATGTTAGTAATAAAATTGATAAAATTAAAACGTTAGTGATGTTTCGAGCCGAAATTTAAAGGTGAGTGATATTTGTTGTAATTTACACTTAAATAAAATATTTTTTTAATTTTTATCTAAATCTAGATAGGCAGCTCAAAATCCTCATGTGAGCCGCACAGACTACCTAAACTAAATGAAATTGAAGTGAATGACCAAAGCCCTAGTTTTTCTTACGTCTGTCCATCCTCCATACGGCAAAAAAGAGCTTGGATCAAAGGCTAGGCTTCAATTCTACTCCTTGTTTTATCTCATACTTCCTATGTCTCTCTGTTTCTTTTGATGTGAAATTTGTTTACTCCGCAGCTGACGTCTATTACTCAACCCTATTCCAATGCTTGATGAGCGTTGTTCTGCTAGGTTTGCCGGGGCCATGGGCTGAGGATAGCCGTGAGCCCTCTGATCATTATACTACCAAAATTGGTGGACTCCCTGTACTTCTCTTTCTGTCTCTCTCACTTCATTTTCATATGTGTTGATGTCCTCTGGCACCTTTAGCTGAATAAATTTTTGAGGTTTTTCAAGCAAAGGATGAAGGCTATCTTGTAAAGCCTTTGTCTTTGATATATACTCAACTCAACCTAGCAGAGGACAGTGGCAGTATCTTTTGGTTATGTTATTTTATACCTTAACTTTATTTTTTTAACAGGATTGGCCTCTTCCTATAGGGGCTTTGAACTTAAACCCCACTCTAATTCACTGCACTCAATGTGGGAGTAAACTCTGTCTTGTTGCTCAGGTTTATGTTAGGTTTATTTTTTTCCTTTCATGTTATTGCCAAACAACTTTATCAATGGAATCCAATTATTTATATCATTTTGCTAAATTCCTGGTAAGCTTTATGCTCCAGTTTCAAGTGGAGCTTTGAACATTGAAGACCGTCTTCTTCTTGTTTTTGGTTGTGTGATACCAAATTGTGGTAGCTCTCCTCTCAGGTTCCTTTCTCTATCATAATGCAAACCTTTAATTGTACAAGTGTTGTATTATCTTTTAGTACCAGAATAATGACCACTTAGATGGATGCTTTGTTTAATGAAATATGACCATGTAGTTGGCGAGTTCTTCGAATTCAGAAAGTGGAGACTGAATCAAAGGAATCATCTTCCTCTGCTACTCTGCATAAACCTCCTGCAGCTTCATCTACTGTTTCTGTTTCAAAAACTAACTGGTGGGAGAATTTGAGTGATGAGGATGATGAAGATGTGGATTTGAAGGACTTGAGTAAAGCATTTTCTGAAGCAGCTAGCTTGATTTCTGAGCCCAAGAAGACAAATAACAACCGGAACTTTGAGGGTGCTATGAAGCATTCATCTTTAACTGCACAAACAAGAGTAGATACTGATACACCAGGTGAGGTTGCCCTTATTATAATGTTTTACATCTCAATTCCTTTAGATACGTATAATTGTATGTGATAGCTTAGACTCTACAATGTGTTCTACATTGTCATTGATGTTAACAATAGCGTCATAGTCTTCAAACACTGCATTCTCATTCCTTTCTGTTTCGCATGTAAAGCTTTAACTTGGTTTTCTTGTACTGTTGGGTCTTGGAGAGTTGCATTGAATTGCCATCTAAATTTATTCCTATACTAGTTTTGTTGTGCTAAAATTCTTTTTGCTTGATTCATTTTGTTCCCTTGTTGCAGTAATGCCATGCTTCTACATTTATAGTCAGGTGGAGTCATCATCAAAGGATTTTGCTTCTGTGTGTTCAAATCACTTGTCACTTTCGGTCAAGGAGAAAGAAGGCGATGCCGATGATCATGAACAAGAAGAAACATGGGAAGCTGAAAATTATGAATATGATAAGGCTCTGAATGCTGACAGAACTTATCTCAAGTTCAAGAAACAATTGGATGCATATCCAGAGCAATGCTTCAGGTAATTTACAGTTTTTGAATATGCTGGAAACCCTGTATAAGTTAGCATATTGTTCGTTAAAATTCATACATGGTTTCTTCAATGTTAGGCCTTTGTTATGACTCTAGTTCATCAACAACAGAATAATGAATGTACACACAAATTTTAAGGGCATAAACAAGATTTTGAACGGGTCTTGCAACACTGTTAGTTTTTCTTTTTCTTACTAGATCCTGGTCAAATTGATCAGAAAGAAAAGAGAATATAAGCATAAAAATAAACTGGGAAGAAATCATACTTTGTCACTGCCCAAATTATTGCAGAGATAACATTGATTCTATTAGTAATTTGAGATGGGAACTGTTACTCTACATATCATTTTCTCACTGCATGTAGAAGGGAAAAGAATATTGAAAAAAATAAAGATTAATATCTTCATGTCTCTGATAGAGTATTATATGACTGATCTTTCTGTTCTCAGATATGAATTTGGTGGGAAACCTCTTCTGGCTACAGCTGAGGTGGGAAATGCAGGGAATTGCGGGCTTTGTGGTTCTTCAAGGCACTTTGAACTGCAGCTTATGCCCCCATTAATATATTTTCTTCAAGAAGAGACTGACCTTTGTCGTAAAGGTTCTCTGGAGAATTGGAACTGGCTGACGCTGACTGTCTATACATGTTCCAAGGTCAGTTGTTGACTCGTTGATTACTCTAAATGAGCGACATATATTCTGCTTGCCTGACAGAACTTTTTTTTTAGTGGAAAAAGCCTTCCATTCACACTTGTTATATATTTGTTTACAGAGCTGTTCCAAGTCATTTGATGAAGAGAAGTCCACCTGTGGTGCTTGGTTTGTGGTGGAGGAGACTGTTATCATGCAATTTGATGAGAAGCCCATAAATGAGTGGCTTCAACGCTATTTCTCATGATTTGCAATTTCTGTCAAATGTGTTAATTGAAACTCGTTCAGTCTTTATGATCTGCAGTTTCTATGAACCAACATTATACATAGCCTACAAGGAACCTGGAAAGTTCACTGATAATATAGGATGGGTTTGCCAGTTTTTGTCATTCACAAATTTAGATTGCTTTTTAGATGTACTCCGAAATGTCAGTCCCCAAGAAAGCGTTATTATGCATTGGTGGAAGATTGATGAGAGGTGTCAATTTTTGTTCAACTTTATTTACTATTTTGACTAAGCTTTCTGCTATGGCTAATATGTGATCTTTAGTTTAAAATTTAAATTCTTTTTTTTATCATAACAAGTTTTTATACAGATGACTGGAATTGATGACCTTATAGTATGTACATGGTATTAAATTGCACAAGGACCTTTAAACATGTTTCACTTGCTGGACAAGTCTTTGATCATAACCAAAGTAGAAATGGATGGAAAATGTAACTTAATAAAACTGTGAGATTGAACTGAGAAGTTGAGCACCTCTTTTGGCATTGAGGTTTACAAGATTTTTGAGATTTTTTTTGGTTAATTAAAAATTTTGACCTTTTTTATTTACGGTTTGTGTTACATCAACTAATCCAGCAGACTTGGAAATAAGGGTGAGGAGGAAGCTTTAGAGTAAATGATGGATGATACAATTGAGGTTTTAGAGTCTCCAAACAAAACATTGCACCATCGAGTAACTAGAAATTTGCTTATAGCAGGCAATGGAGAACCCAATTTGTTTACAAAATAAACCAATTTAAATGCCCATAGCAGGCAATTTCAGTTATGGTAAGTGTTCAGACACTCACTCAACACGATGATGCGACGATAAAGGCGGACAGAGAGATCAAAATATGAAAACCATACAAAGAATAATCTTTTCAAATACAGAAATAAATCCAACAATTACGAGTGAAATAGCAGTCATTGGAACTAAATGCAAATGTTCTCCATATTTTGCTCTGCTGTTCAAAATCTAAAGAGAACCGCATTAAGAAGAATTAGAAGCCGATAACTTAAGACACTCACTCTGACACCTCCGGAGGCAAATGTCATTCCAGTTGGGCACTTGATGTTGGTTAACACAAACAGTTCGAGCACATGCATCAGAGCAAGCATCAAGCTCCGACACACCACAAACGGTAACACAAGTATCGGGAATAGGATCCTTTGAAAATGCCCCAACCTTTTTCAACATTCTCTTTGATGTGCACACTCTCTCACAAACAAAGATATCATCTGAACTCTTCTCCCTTCCCCTGGCACTCTTGATTCTTTGTTCTTCAGCATGCTTTTTCTTCATCCTAAAAGCTTGTCCCGCAATAACAGCCGGAATGGCAGCCCCAAGAAGGGACCACCACATATCAACCATTGCAAATTGCAGTATGCAACCCCTTTAACCTTTCTCCTTCCCCAACCTTCACTTCTGCACTCTTCAATGGAAGAGGAAAATACAGCAATGAACTATCTTTATTCCTTTCTTGACTGAACAGCTAGCAGTTTTATATTTATCAGATTCAACTTCACTTTTAACATGATAAGAAATTCCAGTGGCAAATGGCGATCAAATCTATGATTTATGACAAGCAGCAGAAGATAAAAAAATGAAAAATAAAAGGGCAGGGGGGTTGTTTTATAAGGCAAATTATTTCCATTTGCAGTTCAGAGATTGGATTTTTGGTTGCCTTCCATTTTAAAGTTCCAGTATGTCTAGCAACAATACATTCAAACTTTATGCATTCATGTTAGCATTAGTTTATGAAAAGTTAGGACAAGTGCCATTTCCATCATATAATCTGTGAACATAGAGATAGAATTACAAACAGAATCAGCGAAGCTGCCACTATCAGTTAATAGAACCTATCAATGTTATCAAGACTCAGGGAGTGTCGGAAACTGGTATTGTCCCCTACAAATATGCTCAATCTTTTCAAGCTTTTTCATATGCTTGGAGGATCATATCCATATATCTGTCTAAAATATGTTTCCAACACAAATATAAGACACAAAAACTTTAGGAATAACAACCAGTCCAAGTACGTAAGAACCTATGCATTTCACCTTCCAATAACAACCATTTTTCACATGATTTCCTAACCAACATAATCAAGCTACCCATCTTTCCATCTGAAAGATTTTAAACCAATATAAAGAAAATTCCAAACGAGGTATATTAATGCTCTTATTACAACCAAAAGCCATCAAAAAGCCTCAGAATCCCCATTTTTTATAAATGTTTTACACACAACAAATAAATGGTTAATTCCAGTATCAGAATCTCCATTTTTTATGACTGTTTTACACGCAACACATCCTTATACTTTTGTGAACAAAAACAATAGTTTTCATAAACAATCACATATATTCAATTCCCCAGATTGAGTTTATTATTGTACAAAACCGAAAATAATAATTCCTAAAAGCTTAGAGCTTTAGCAATCATTACTAGTTTTAACAATTGAGAAAGTACCCATTTCATAAAAGGAAGAAAAGCATCTCATCATGCAGCAACATGAACACATTATTGGAAGGATAATTATGCATCAAATAGGTAAAATAAACTCAAATTAAGAGCCCGAAAATGAGCTAAAATAACAAAAGGGAAAAAAGAAAAGAAAAACCCAGATGCTAAGTTACAGATCAAATAACAAAGAAGATATAACACATGCTGCCACTAATCTTTGAGGTTCAGTATTTAGAAACTAAAGAAAGAAGAGCCTGACCTTTGGAGCAGGAATTTAGATAATTACAGCAAAGAGAGTAGAGCGGCTAATACGTTCGCTTTCGACTGTGGAAAAATGCATGTCTTCGAGGGTTTTTGAACCCCAACAACAAATCCATTAAATTCTGGGATTATTTTCTAAAATAGGGCGCTTTTATTTATTTTTCGTTAAAACCAAGATGAATGGTGTGTAAAACTTTAGGGTAAACTAAACAGATAGTCCTCTGATTAAAAGTCGTTTTTTACTGCGTCTTTCAGTTATGAAAGATTATAAATTATCACTCGATTAATAAAATTAATATAATAATAAATTTAATTCTCAATTTTTATAGTTTATTTTAATTTTATTTTAATTTTAAAAATTAATCATCAATATTTTAATACATTATCAATTTAATTTAGAAGAAAGCCTCTTCTCTAATAATTTCAACATGAAAGTATCTAGATTGTTATATAACATTGTTGAGAACTTCTAACTCTTTTTATAAAAATTTGATGTTAAAAAAATTCTTCATTTAGAGAGAAATAACTTTTTTTCCTTTTAATTTTTTCTTTATAATTTTTTTTAATAATCTCACATAATAATTTTAATTTAGTACATTATTTTTCTAATTAAAAGAACCCCACTAGTCTTCTTAATCTTTTTAGAATTTCTTTGATTAAATAAATACTATATAAGAGCTTTATAATTCTAAAAGTATAAAATATGACAATTTGTAAGGTTAAAAAAATTCTACTATTAGAAAAATGATTTTGAAAAGTGTTTCTAGAAAATGTTCAAATAATAATTTTAAATGTATTGAAAAAGGATAGTATTTAAAAGGGGTTATTTTTTTATCAAGTAAAGAGAGATTACTTTTATTAAACATATATCATAATTCGAACCTACATAAAGTGGAATAACACGAACATCTTTGACCATTCGACCAATTAAAAATAATTATTTAATTCAACAAGTACAATGCGGGGATAAAGATTCATTACGAAAGAAAAGGGAGAAATTGATGGAAATAATGGGGATATTTTATACATCCATCCAGTAACCAAAACGCCCCATGCAAGTGGAGAACCTGTGTGATATAAAAGAATTGGCTTTACAAGCAAAACTAATATGGTTAGAAAAGGAATATTGAAGCAAAGAACAAGTGATATTACATCACACATTAATATCTTGGGAGCCTGTAAAGGAGAATCTCGGAAGGCTGTAATTCTCGGTCACGGAAACCGGTTGTTGAGGGTAAAGCATAGGAGGCGGAGTCAGATTGTGCGGTGCTGGTAAGGGAGGAAGCATGGTGTACCTGTGAGGGTCACCGCTCAAACTGCAAACAACACAATCCTATCATGTCATATACACACCGGAAACATGGGACGGAGAGACAGATGAGAAAAACAATGACAACAACAATTGGTAACCCCTTCGCCTTATTTACCTAGTACGCTGGTAAAACTGTTCATCATCGCTGTAATTTTCATCCAGGCGTTGAGAGGTTCGAGATGTGGACCATGTATTTGGGTTCGGTAAGACATCCAAAAAATATCTTCTCCTGATTAACTGAAGCAAGCATGATGCAAGTTTAACAATGGATACCTCGCAACAAATCGATGCTAGAAAACCACACAAAGTAAGCAAAGATGGCAATAATACCGTACGAAAAAATTTCATTACGCCTTCCTTATCATATCTAGCATCTTTGGTAGCCTGTAGATATCAAATACAATGTTAGACATCTAAAATTAGCAAAAGTCAGAACTAATGTCGTTAACTTGAGTTTGCGATGCTCATACAAAATATCAGATCTTTACCATCGCAGACTTTTTGCTTAAGTTTTAAACAGTTCATTGTGACCCTTATCGGCTAACAAGGGAAGCCATGATGGACAAACATGTTTGCTTGCAGAAACCAACTTTGTGAAGTACTTACACAGCATCTAATAAAACAAGAGAAAACTGGAAATAACAACCGTAAACAGTGGAAATGGACAACTGCACAGTAAAATCCCTAAATTACAAGGATTTACCAAACTAAACCATAAATTACAGGTGTAAATTATCCCAGACAGTCAGAGAGAGAAAGGACCTCAATTTGAAATGCAAGAATATTGAGGACAATTAAATTCACCCTTATTTATACAGCAATTTGAGACATATAATTGAGTGAAATAAAACTGTACTATTTGACTTCATTTAAGAAAAGATGAACAGAAATATATTATTTGCACTATTTTAAACATATGATGTCTACATGATTCAATACCATTGAAACCCAAGTCTCCCTCATAAATATCAGCAATAATGAAATAATAAATTTTTACTCAAACGACATAAAAGCAAGTCAAAGCATAAGTTAAATGCTTACTGCAGTAAAACCTCCACTACCAGGAAAGCTCTCAGTCAGTGGAAGTTGCTCACTAGATGGAAGCAAGCCCTGCTTCTCAATCCACTGACGAGCTGCATCAACAAGATTGCCACTGCTACCTCTAGTACCCCCTTTAGAAGCAATATCAGCTTTATTACCAATAACAATGTATGGGACAGGAAGTCCGCCAGGACCTCCAGAACCTAGAGGAGCTGAAAATGTCCCAGACGCCGCAATCTCAGCTGCCCACTTCTGAAGGCTTGTTTTTGTTCTCCTTTGGGAAAGATCATGAACAAAAATAACACCTGCAGAAAACTTCAAGGCAGAATCATGAGAGAAAATCACAGGTCACAGACATTCCAGTAATTACAAAAGGCTCAGAAGATGCAGGAAAATTTTCTACATGCTGAAAATTTGGTGAATATCTTTGGGATGTTAATGGTAGCATGCCAACAATATCTATGACCATTAAGCTAAAGTTATAATAAGTGCATTCACCTATATTGCAAACGTCTCCATTGAATAAATTCCTTCAGTTTGGTATTTTGCAAATTTGCATCACAGTTAGAAATGAAAAGGGGTTCTATACAGAAGGAACAACAAGTTTCTAAACCAGCTTTTACCTCTACTGATCAATAGAATCAAATGCAGTCTAAGAAGTAAAATACATTTTGGTTAAGAAAAAAATGGAAAGCATGCAGCTGCAGTGTAAATTATTTAAGGAATAACAGGCTATGCGAAAGCTGATATACAACAACTAAAGCCAGTAGCCATCACTATATTTTAGGTCTAATACCTCTTGGCATGCAGCAACATCGGGCCCTGACTATTCTAAAGTTAACCCAAGTCAGAACCCAAACAGGGGAAAGCTCTCCTAATTCTTATTTTCTCCATTTCACAGAAGTCGAAACTGAGACCTTGCTTTAGTAGCCATCATCAATGTTTTCAATGGTGCAAGGTGCTAGAACCCTTATATTGCGTCAGGTGCAATATATATTTGTGTGTGTATAAGATAAGCTTGAATATATAGTTATGATTATAAATTCTAAAGAGTCGTCTAGGCTATCAACAAAACATTCAATTTATGTTGTTGGGAATTATGGATGACTCTTTATGGTGTCATATCATTGAATACAAAAATATTGAGAAGTAGGGAGTTTGATACTATCTTCTTTTTACTGGTAAATGTACATTTAATAAAAAAGTTAAAAATTAAACGAATAAATGATTAGGTGGCCTTTTCATATGCATATCATCTTACAAAGCACCCAAAAAGCTGTGAGGCTTTTTGTTGTCTAATGCTAAGGCACAAGGTGCAGGAGCACCTACACACACGCCTTGACAACACTAGCCAACACTCCATATATATGCATGTAACTCTATCAGGGTACTGATCAAAATACCAACGAAGAAATAGCGATGGTCCTCAATCTGTTCATCATGCAATCAAGAACTTAAATCCAACTAGTACAAAATAGAACATGGCTGCAGTAAGCCATCCAATCCCTTGAAAAAGCACAAGAAAGACTGTAGATTACCGGAATTACAAACTAGGCATCAGAAAGTTTTCTTGCTAACAATTATCAAGAACTTAACATTTTCTCAAGTAAAGAGATTAAATACTCACCATTAATTTGTGAATAAAATAGAGACCTGCAATCTTTGTATCTCTCATGTCCCGATACATCCCAGAGTTCGACAAAGAAATCTCTCTCGGCATCCCCTTTTAAGCTGCTTGAAGAGCTACCAGGACTACCATATGTTGTATGCTGCAAAGAGATTGCAGTGGCTACTAGGTTAATGAACTCACATAATAACAATAACTTTATTTAAAGCAACAAAAGGATACTAAGTCTTACCTTCACAGAAACTGTACATCCAATAGTTTGAGGAGGGCGAGCAATGGAAGAGCCTTTAACAATCAGATGGACAAGAGAAGTTTTACCAACACCTGCCAAAAGACTAAGATTTCATTTTGAAGTTCGGCATCTAACAAAAAGCTGAAAACAAACATCCTTATGTTTGATTTAAGCATGAAGGTAAATAAATCAGAAAGGTAGATTTAGAGTCTTCTTACTGCCTAATAACAGCATAATATGTCATGATTGTCCAGGAAGTTGAAAAACAAGTCAATAACATAGTAACAAGAACCAGTAAATATGTTCTAAAGATCTGTTAGATTGGTATAGAAAGTATTAAAAGAGTCGTCAACAAATTACTCAAAATAATGCCACCAAGGCTATGCAGATTTTTCCTTAAAACTAACTTGAACTGTTAGCTCAAGTATTAAATGAGGAATGGGTACGAATAAAGTACAAGTTTAAGCCACAATGCTCCCTCTTGTACCAATAGAAAACTTCAATTTACATATTTAGCTATAAAATTTATACCATCTTCCCATTTATACATGATCCCAACCCTTTCCCCAATGGCTTCAAATTCGTTTCTTATGCATGCATATCAGTTATCACAAAATACGTCTCCTCAACCGAAAGCCAAGATAATAAGGCAACTATTTCACCCCATAAACTTCATCTCTCATTTCTAGCATTGAAACTGTGAATTACCACTAGTTAAGTCCTCGAATTTTTAATGCGTAAACAAAAACATTTGTTACTTTGAGCCCTTTTATCCTTATATTAGGGCAGGTAAATCAAGAACTCTTCTTTTTCCAGAATAGTTGCACTTCAGGTAGCTAAAATCTGAACATCCATAAATTTAGCGAACCCAAAATCAGCAACAGCAAATGGTTTTTTATACTAATATATCTCTATCAACTATGTTCCTTCTCAAATAGATACATTATCAAGGATTTAAATTGTGGTTACGGCCACATTTTTTGTTGCATTGCATTTATTGCGATTGGGGACATAAACATGATATTGCATCACTGCGATATCGCGGTTGTGCAATAAGAGTTTCGGACGGCACCATTACCATTTTATAGCGGCAGCTATTCCGATAGGGGAGTGATATTTAAATCCCTGACCATAATAATACTTTAACGGCACACGAATTCGTTAAATTAACAGCTACTCCATACCAAAAAAATACAGCAAAAAGAAGAAAACATTGCAAAGACAAAAACGTTATATGAGAGCAAAAGATTTCGTTACTAGAAACAAAGTAAAAATTCAACACCTGAATCACCGACAACAAGAACTCTAATCTGCCCCCAAAGAGGTCCTCCATTAAGCTCATTGTTCGCCATTTCACGTTCCCTCCAAAACATGTTCTCTTCTTTTTTTTCTCTTTTCTTCTCTCCCAACACATAAAAGAAAAATCCACTCCAAATGATAACCCAACTCAACTCTCAAAAAATAGAGAGACTGAATCAAGTCCCATCAAACAGGTACAAATTTAAAGCAGGGCATCATTTTCTCGAAACGGGTACCCAAAATCCCAAACCAAAATCCACGATCCTAAAACACATAATTTCTGAACTCAATTGGATCTAACAAGATAATGGGTATCTTTGGAATGGGAATATGGAGTTTATGTTTGGAGCTTTCAAATCTCAATGGATTGAACTTGGGTTTAAAACTATATTTTCCAGAAAACAAAAATATCAACGTTTTAAGTTGGCTTTACAGGAACATTAAGAAAAATGGAAACAGAAAAAACAGAAGTAGAGATCTAGAATTGGTTTTCGGATGGATCGAATATATGCTTCATTTTCATGTGCTGATACGGATTGATTAAACAAGGAAGCTTGAAGTTGGAACGTACAACTCACGCGCTAGAATGTGAGCCAGATGTCTAAGTTATGTCGATTTCCTTTAGGTTAAAATATGTTCCACATCACTATATTCTCAGTATATTTGAAATTTGGTTCCTATATTTTTATTTTTGACATAATATAAAAAAATTCTTAATATTTAACCAAATAATCATTTTGGCTCCTAATATTTTATATTATGTTCAAGAACCGCTAATATTTGACTAAATAATTATTTTAGTTCTTATTCTTTTTTAAAGAGAGTTTTGATCCTGTAACATTTTATTTTAAGGTAAAAAGTCCTCTATTTTAAAGTGTTGATTATTTGTTGACTAACCATTTTCATCTACAAAGAGACATTTTTACCATAAAATGAAATACTAGGATTAAGATACTAAAAAAATGGTTAAAATAAATATTTAATTAAACATAAGGGAATCTTTTAATATTATACCTTTTATTTTCAAGTATGTAGTTCTTATTTTTTTCGGATTTAAAAATTAAAGTCAAATGATTAACAATGATAAAACTCTGCCGTTAATTCAAGTACATTAGAACGTCATCTTTTTGTTACATAATTTCTAAATTAATTTTTTTAATTTAAAATATCATATCAATAAATCTAATAAATAAATTTAATGTCAATTGATGAATAATATTTAAATTCAAAATTTTTAAAGATAAAAACAAATATATATATAAAGACGACATCTCCACTCTAGTATTTCGGATAGTTAATATTTTTTTATATATTCCGATATATATTTTTATATTTGATTAATCTAAAATGAATATAAAATAATATTTATTTAAAAAATTTCAACCACAAAATACTCACATCCATACATATTTAATGCTTTAATCAATAAACTCAAAAAATAACAATAATTTTTAATCACTAACATCATTTATGCTATGAATTCCAATATTAAAATAAATACGCTTGAACTCGGATAATCAGGGTGAGTTAGAGGGAGGGAGTCAGCTCTTTGGAGCTGATATTTCGGAGTTACTAATAGCAGGGAGAAAAACCTGTGAAGAGAAATGAGGAAGGGACACGTGGCAAGAAGAGAAATGAGGGGAAATCGAAGGCACACCAACTCGGGAATCATCAGAACTCAGGACCTCGCACTTTGAGTCGACATTCCTTTTATGATAAGTTCAAATTCAGAAACCCTCATCCCTCCAAATAAAGAGAAAAAGTTTATTGAGCCCTCATATCATGGCCTTCTCTACTCGTATCCTCTCTAAATCTCGCCAGGTTTTTTTACGTTTTCCTTAATTTCTCCTGCTCTTCTTATTCTGTTTATCATATTATTTATCGTTTAGATCTTTATGAGTCTGAATGTTTTGCTTTTTCAGTCTAATTCGTTTCTTAGGCATCTAACAATGCATGACATGAGGTTGAAAAAAAATCATGAATATTACATTTATATGCGTTTTACCACACAACGTATGCCAATTTGAAATTCAAGTTCCCGAACTTATGTATATGATATCCTGTTTATTGTTGATGTGGCTGTGATGCGTTTTCTTCCTTGGATATTTGTACAGCTTTGCGGTAGTCAAGCCATTCTAAGACAGGAACATGTCACTCCTGTCCGTTTTTATGCCAAGGAGGCTGCTCCTCCCACTGCTCTTAAGGGTGATGGTAAGTGCATATCAGCAGGTTACACTGCTTTTGACCTTCTTTCCGATTTTTTCTCCTACACTGTTCTCCCAACTTTGGTTATGCGAATAATAGCAAGTTATTGCTTGTGTTTCTGTGGACTACATTTGCATGCTTCGTGCATATTTATGGCTGTGATTTGATTTCTATAAGTTAGAGGTTTTGATGCATATGTGGAAATAAAATAGGATGAGATGTCTTTTTCATGTTTATGCTTATATTATCTATTACTAATATATAATTGTTTACTGTTTGATTATCATTAATGCATGATCTTGTGTTTGGTTTACTGACAAATTCCTTTGGCTTTAATCAAAAAGAGATGTTGAAAAATATCTTTCTGGAGGTTAAGTCAAAATTTGAGACGGCATTGGGAATATTTAGGAAGGAGAAGATCACCATTGACCCAGATGACCCAGTGGCTGTCTCTCAGTATGCAAAGGTTATGAAGACGGTTAGAGAAAAGTAAGTTCTTTTCTATATGCTTTATAACGTGTTTACCTCTAAATCTGTCCCTCCTGCAGGGCCAACCTGTTTTCGGAATCTCAGCGGATCCAATACACCATCCAAACGTGGACTCAGGACATTCCAGATGCTCGAACATATTTATTGACACTGAAGGATATAAGGATCAAGTATGTTCATCCCTACTTTAAGTTTGTTGCTGTTGTTTGTAAATTCTTAATGATTTAATGAATACCATATTTCATAATTTAATTATGTTCCTTCTTTTTCTGCTATGATAAGCATGTTTATGTGGTTCTTGGTTTTTTCTTCCTTCTTTACATGAATACATATAGCTTTCAATGGAGAAATACTTTTGTCTTGTTTTCTTTTCATGGACTCCAAATTTTGTTTTTAATGACACTAATTTGTAGGCTTGTTGTATGAGTAAAACAGTTCTGCTTAATTTTATATCATTTCTCTACCTTCTGTAGGAGAGGAGACCTTGGTGCTGAGGCAATGATGATGGATGCTTTGGATAAAGTCGAAAAAGAAATCAATAAACCTCTTATGAGAAATGACGAGAAATCAATGGCTCTTCTTACGGCAGAGTTTGATAAGATTAATAAGCAGTAAGTGTCTTTATATAACTAAATATGCCTTATTCCTATTAACATTGACTAAGATTCTCTGAAATAGAAATGTTAATTTCACATTCAAGATGTATTCTTGGACTTGGAATCAGCAAGGTTCTTTTTGAGATTCCAACAATGGGTTCATTGTGTAAGATACTTAATTTTGCAAAGCATTTTTACATTATGGTCCTTTTCACAGAATGGCTGCTGTAATATGTGGTTATGAGCTGCCGTAGAACTCTAAAATTTCTTCTGTCCGTTAAGTGGGGGGTTATGTTTTAATATTTAATTATGAGCTGTTGAAGAATTTTACAGTCGTGCTTGCTTCTGCCCCTTAAAGGAAATGGAGATGTTCCTCTCTTTTGTCTAATCGTTTGTCTTAACAGGCTTGGAATCCGGAAGGAAGATCTGCCCAAGTATGAAGAACAATTGGAGCTAAAAGTTGCCAAGGCTCAATTGGAGGAGCTGAAGAAGGATGCTCTAGAAGCAATGGAAACACAAACTAAGCGGTATGTTAATGATCTTATGTTTTGCTATGACGATTTTCTCTCCTTTTTTTTCACGCTAGATTTCTTATGTAGTGGCCCTGGGACTTTATGGATGGAACTGAGTTAGCTCCTAGAAGCATATTTTCCTTTTTATTGTCCACACTTGCACATACATATTGGTTAAGGAATTGGCCTCCTTCAGTCATACTCTTGTAAAACTTTGAAACTGTCTTCTGTTTTGTTAATTTGTGTGATACACAGACAACTAAGATATATTTACGATTTACCGTTCAGTATGAAAGAAGCATGATAGTTTATAAATAAAGAAAAATTAAACATATATGTTAGTTTTGTAAATCCATGCATGCAACACAGTTTAGACGAAGAAATCATTGTCGGGCATTTACAGCTAAATATTGGATGGATGAGTGTTTTGTTTGTATGCAATGCATGGAACCATTTATGAAATGTTTTAATGCTTTCCTTTTAATAATAACTTTAAATCTTCAGGGAGGAATTCAAGGATGAGGCAATGCCTGATATAAAGTCATTGGACATCCGGAACTTCATATGATTAATCAAATTTGCCTTTGGAGGTCAACTTACAAGGTGAGCAAGGACAGTGGAGAATACCTTTGTCATTTTTGCTATAATAATAATAAAAAGCAGCTGCTCATTTGAAAGTGCAAAACCATCTCATCTGAATGAGTTAAGAGTTATTTTGTATCATTCTACAAGGAGATTCGGTAGTGGAAATCTTTTGTTAATGCACATGCTAGCTATTGAGTGTCGGTTTCTTTGAGCTGATATTATGGATGAAATTTGCGCTATGATCTGGCCACTTGTTTCTGTGAATCACTGTAAGTGGAACAGATACTGGTGTAGAAAACTTCTATTTACTTTCATCGGAATGCCGCCATCTTCCCTGTCGCAGCCTTGCCCTCAAAATTAAAGCAGCCATCCAGGTGCAGGTACCGCAAAGTCAATCTTAGCGTCGAATACACTGAAAGTTAGGAGCATCACCATATTAACTTAAATAATCTAATTTCAAGGCTGGACTCATGGCAAAGCTTTATATTCCATGCTATGGAATGATGGCCTAGATTTCTACATAACTTTAGTCTTGATTCAATGACAGTGGATGGTCATAATATCAAGCTGGAGTTGCATTGGAAGGGGGAAAAACGCATTCTTAGCTTATAACGGGCTTGCCTTGATTTTATAACATACGAATATATATTACGGAAAAGGAACAGTCGGTAATACGTGGAAGTATCGACATAGTTTCAGAGTCATTCAGTCTGAATGTTGTATGAAGAACACAAGTCAAATAACGGAACAAGAAAACCTAAGATGTAGAAGATCATAACAACATGGATGGTTCGACAGATTTGGATTCTTATATATCCACTCATGTGGTACTTCATTCTACAAGAATTATACAATAAGAGTTGTATATAATCAAATATAGCATAAGTTAATTACCGTTCATTGTATTTGCAAAAAGGCGAAATTATTTTTTAAATGTTTGTAATTCAAAGACATTTGATGGTTATTATTAACATTCATGTTTTTTAAAATATGTGAATCAAATACATATTTTGGTGTAAGTATAGACAGACTTCTAATCGCAAATAAGAAAAGATGAATCAAATATTTTTATCACGTGAGATTCATTTTTATGTCCAAATAACATGATAGTTTTAATGTTTTGAAAGTTAGGCTCATCAAATAATCCAGTTCTCCTATCCTTTACGTAGGCGAAGTCTACTTATTTGAGTACAGAATTAAACAAGATTTATATTGTGGTCAGCTAATCATCCCTATGATTTACCTCTTCCTATTCAGAGTAGGATAGTTCCCAAAGCTGAGCATACTTAGAATGCACATGTACAAAGTTATGTGTCAGATAATTATATCATAATTTTAAATAAGATGATATTAGCAAGATATTATCACATGGTAAATATGATTGATAAAATTATTAAAGTGCAAATTAAAGCGTAATTTAACAATAAAAATTATTATTTGATTAACGGTCAAGACATATTATTGATGTAGTATTTTTATATGTGTTCAATTACTAACGTAATATTTCTATATATGCTCAATTGCTAATTGCTGACGTAATAAATCAATTAATGATTCTCGTTCTATAAGGTTTGTTTTAACCAAGAACTAAAATGTTTAGGTTAAAAAGCTCTTAAAAAAAGAAATAAAGAATAAAATGATCAATTTTGTAAATATTGATGGTTAATTTTATTATTACGTCATTCCAATGTGTATATGGAGTTCTCCATACAACAATGAGCAATCTGGTCTTCAGTTCACTGCTCCTCCAGCATGTTTTCAATGAAAGCTTTCTCTTTTATCTCTCAAACAGAGTTTCATACTCCCAAATTTCCCAACCTTAAGCCCACCAAAACCCTGCACCCACTGTTCATCCATTTGCGCAAACTAAATCCTCTCCCTTTCCAAACAACCAAACTCTGTACTTCCTACAAACCCACTTCAACAACTAAAACCTCTTTTGTCTCTCCCAAGACCCAGTTTTTCAAATCGTTGTCAGAAAAAGTTGTTATCTTCCTTGTTGGGTCCTTCATTTTTATGGGTTGTTTCAGTGCTAAACCATGTTTGGCTCTTCCTGCTCAAACACCTTCCAGCTCTAGACTAAATTCAGAGGGAAAGAAAGAAACCCAGAAGGGGAAAAGTGAGGAAGAGGAGAGGTATGAGAAACTTTTGGAGAAAGAGCCTCGAAATGTTGAGGCTTTGAAGGTGCTTTTGTATGCCAAGATTAGGAGGGGGAAGACTGAAGAAGCCGTGGAGTGTGTGGAGAAGTTGATCGATATCGAGCCAGATGAGGTTGAATGGAGGCTATTGCATGCTCTTTGTTATGAGATGATGGGGCAGCTTAACAGAGCTAAAAGACTGTTCAAGGAAATATTGGAGGATACCCCTCTTTTGCTCCGAGCTTTGCATGTAAACTTCTCTAACTTGGTTCTTGTTTATATACTAATGTTCAGATAGCATCTGCTCCCTTGGAATACTGTTTAGAAGAAATTACTTTGTGAGACTCTGATTCATTGAGAGATGGCTTGAATCTAAAGTTAAATCAAATTGTGAAATAATTGTCAAATCCATTCCTATTCGTTTCATAGTTTTGGCTTAATGACAAAGGGCTCATTGGTTCTGAGAGTGAATTATTAGATTGAGATATATATCATATGCCATTTCTGGTGACTTATGCAACTTGAGTTTCCTAAGGTTATGCAGGTATTTGATTTTTCTTGAATAATCCCAGTTCAAAGTAACTGATTTGAAGGATTATGGTTAATCTTAGAATCTTGACTGTTTATTGTGGTATATTGTTTCTCCAAGGTGTTATTTCTATATCTAACTAATTGAACAGTTAGTTGAGATTATTGGTTGCCATGCAATACCACTGCATCTGCAGTTGCTTTTATTTGAAGCTTACCATTATTTCTGGCCATCTAGATGTAAGTTTTGCAGCATCTTGGTAGTATATATATTCGTGGATGTGGATGCTTCAAAATATTCTCAAGAGTATGCATGGATTGAATAAGGAAATACTAAGTCTTTCTTGGGAGTAGTTTTCCTCATAAAATTACAGTTATTGGGCTTTTGTGTAATTAGGGAGGCTTTTTGCTTGTTTCTTTTAGTTCAAATCTTACGGATAAATGTTGGAAAGAAAACAAGAATAGAAGAAAAAGCGTATGCTGTTACTTATGAATCTCTGGTTTTTCAGGGTCTGGCTATGGTGATGCACAGAAACCATGAAGGTCCAGCTATTTTTGAGATGCTTAATGAAGCACTAAAAGTTGCTATCCGTGAAAATAGAGTCACCGAGGAAAGAAACATAAGAATTTTAATTGCACAAATGCATGTTGTGAAGGTAACTTCTTATTCAATTGTTGTTGCTCAGATTCACAACACTCCCTTTCCTTTTTAGCTTTTGTGCTGGTGTCGTTTTTTTCCATTCCCCGCCCGGATTGGGGCAAGGGAAGAACTTGATTGTATATATATTTTTTTCCATTTCTATGCAGGTAGGGTAAAAGAAGAAACCATGAAAGTCGAATTTATTTTAGAAAGTAGTAGTAAAATTATTTCTTCATGTAATTGCTTTTTATCAAATCTCATATCATCATCAACTTATTAGTACTTGCTTGCAGGGTGAATTGGAGGAGGGAATGAAGAAATTTCAAGATTTGATAAATGATAATCCTCGAGATTTCCGGCCTTATCTTTGCCAGGTAAGTTTTTTTTAGGTTTATCATGTATTGCTAGTTGCTGGCATACCCTTTTTGTTTTGTTTAGGAAGAAGTTTATGCGGCCATGGCAGTTGATCTTTGATAAAATCACTTGTGAAACTGGATATTCCTTAAGAGAAAAGAGGACCTGACCTTTAGTAGATTCAGATAAAAGGACTATATACAACATTCTAACCCGAACTGCCATCAGTAAATGGCTAATTATGAGATTATGTGCAGGGAATCATATATAGTTTACTTGACAAGAAGAAGGAAGCAGCTGAACAATTTGAGATATATCAGAGTCTTGTACCCGAAGAATTTCCACAGAGAGGGTTCCTTGATGATGTTGTACTGGAAGCGAAAACCAAATCTCGGAAGTGGCTCCAAAGAGATTTTAAAGTTGAGTTCTCATACAAGAAGTAAAAGAATGGACAAATCCCAAGGATTATCAATATAGTTCTACACCTGTATCCTGTTTTTGCACTGCCATGAAAGACGTAGGTCCGGGATCCCTGGAAGATATCAAATATGTTGGTCGAGGACCAGCGGCTGCTACTGCCACTGGTTTACTCATGATTCGCCGAGAAGAACAGGCTGAGATTCTAAACCTACCCTTATCAGATCCATTTTTAAATTTGCTAAAAACAAAATATTTATAATTATAAAAAGTTCGTTTCATTTGAGTTTAGTATGAGTCTGTTAGTACTATGTCGCTTTGTATGAGTTTTGCATGTTAACAATTAGGGAATGAAACGTCGAGGTTCAGAACATTTGACTGCTATGGGAAAAACGTATATGAATTTCTTCCTCTTTTGACTCTTTCTTTTCTTCCTCATTTCCTTCTCTTCTCTTCATCCCAAATCTATTATTTCTTTGTCAATTTCGAGTTAGTGTGTAACGATTTGGTATTCATAGCTGCATCTGGCGATGCCCGAAGGTGTTCAAACTTGCCCTATAGGAAATGCTTCAAACCCAGCGAGATCTTGCCAAATTGCAGGTCGATTTTCAACAGATTGACAAAATGATTGATGACCAGTTAGAAGGTTTTCGCATGGAAATGAAGACTGATACGAAGACGGAAATGAAGGCTCTCTTTGAGTTGCATTTGGGAAGGTTGGAATAGGTCGATTGCTGCGTGAGTTGGGGGTTCCGATGAGATGTATCGAGCATTGACAGATAATGTGAGTTCAATTGAATATACCAATTGATTCTATAAGCTGAAATGTCGTAAGTTCGACGGATTGGATTTCAAGGGTTGGTGGGTTAAGATGGAGCAGTTCTTCGAGGCGGAACAGGGCCGGTAACATTCGAGATCCGAATGGTCATGCTTTAATCGAAAGGTAGGCTCTCGAATTTCATAAACTCGACTAGAAAATTTTCAAATAAAAGTTGAAGTCAACTAGATTACCTTGGAATTCTTTTATTCCATTCGATCGAATACTCACCCTTAAACTCTCTTCCATTAACCGTAGAATTGCACAAACGGAAAATGCTTCAATTTGCACAAACGGAACTAAACTATTAAACTATCTTCGATCAACTTTAACTTCAGGTCATTAAAATATTCCCATGCTTCATATATACTCTCATGATCATATTCCATGAAACCAATGATTTCATTTCGATGTCTGAAACTCTTAGCAGGTGAGAAGTATCTAGACAAATTAATTTATAAAATTTTAGGAATGTGAAATATATTTAAAAATTATAAAAAAATTTAAAATTTATAAAATGGAAAGAGAAAAAAAAGACTGGAATTTGAGGAAAATCACTCTTTCTAATGGAGCTAGTGCCGACACTTCCCTGGGACACGTGAAACTCGGAAGGCTGTTTGTATACTGACTGTTCATCATTATATTACTGTACAAATGTTCCATTTCCCACTGTAACCCTATCACAAGTTTTTCATTCTTTCTTGGGTAAACTATATGTTTAGTACCCAACAATCACTTTTATTCAGTTTTAGTTATCTACTTTTTTTTAATCATACTTACAATTTAGTTTTGATTTCATTTTGGTCAACAGCCGTTAAAATTTTTTTTAAAACATCACATCAATGGTTTTTGTTAGTTTTTTAATAGTGTGTGATCAAAATGAAACTAAATAATATTAGGTATAATTTTGAGAAAAAATAGTTCGAGTGTTTAAAAATGGAACAAAAGTGATTATTGTGGTACTAAATGTTTAATTTATCCTTCTTTTTTTATTACTATTACTTTTTAGAAAAAAAATATATAAATATGAATCTTGCTTGTCACGTATGAGTGTGGTCTAGGGTGATCTAAAATTTTTATGTTAATTATTCATTTTACTGATAGATGGTAGTGTTAACCCTGAAATTTCGTTCATACTTACTCCATGTGTTATCCACATCATTTTCTTTTTCTTTCTTTCTTTTTTATTTCATTTTCTTCTTCCAAAAATGCAAGTTTTACAATTTCATATGCATGTCACATTGACATCGCTATTACCATTTTCTATCATATTCTCTAATAATTTAAGATTTCGACAAATCTGTCTCATTGTCTTTTATCACTTTATCAATTTAGATTTTACTTAAAATCACTTTAAAACTTATAAAAACTCAAAACTCATAAAATTCTAACCTACTCTAATCTATAATATCCACCATCCAATCATCATGGAATCAAGATATACAATTTGTTTCTTCCTTTTTCACCTTCCAATCGTTGGTTTGAAAGAAGACGAAAGAAGATTCAAAATTAGATTTTTCATTAAAAAAAGTAAAGAAAATTTTCAGTTCATTTCATAATTTTTAAAATAAAAAATGTTCAGTCATAATGCCATTTAGTATTTAATGATAGAATGATCAAAATAAGAACAAATCAAAGATTTAATGAGTAAATTAAAAAATTTAAATTTTAATAATCAAAATAGGAGTGAGGAATAAGATGGGTGGTAAAAATTGTAATTTAGCCATCCTTACTCAGAAAGAGATAATTTTCGGTCTGTCTCATGTGAGAGGATTTAGATCAATTGACATGTTTATTGCATTTGTTATATGAAATTAAGTGAATAATATGTCCTATCAGAGAATTGGTGTTGAGGGTTAAGAAGTTGTTTATATTTGATATGAATATTTGAAGGAGCAATAAATGAAACAAAAATGCATGGGAAGGTGAAGTGATGTGAAAGACAGGTTATCCCTGGCTAAGGTATGGCGTGGGAGAGGCATCTGCCATATCTGATCAAGAAGAGGAGACAGCTAAATTGTGGGAGGGAGCGTGGTGTAATCATTCTATGGAATTGGATCTCTTTTCATCATATATACACAAATCTCTTGTTGTGACCTTAGGAGTATCAATAGGTAAAGCAAAAAGTGAAGGGATCATACATACTCTTGCCTTTATGTCCCACTCAAAATGCCTGTTATCCATACACCACTCGCATTCCAAAACTAACTTACCATTGGATTTTACCACGATTATCTTCGTTTTTACCTTGAATAACTAATTTCATGAATGTTTTGAAAGAAATCATTTCTTAAAAAATAATTATATTTATCATTTGTATAGGTGACCTCCCTTTGAGAATATTATGCTAAAGTGCAATATAATATTTCCAATATTTACTAAAGTGCAATATAATATATTTTCTCTCTTTCAACAAAGATCTTGAGATCTTCTATCAATTAGACACAGGCAAATCTAGGGAGGGCTGGCAGAGGTTATGGCTCCTAGTAGGTTAAACGCATAATTTTATGTTATAAAACAAATTTATAAAATTTTAAATGAATAAAAACAAATTATGTATAGAAAATAAAAAAAAATATTTTATACACAACCCTTTTTATGAATTGAAAAATTATATATTAATATTTAGTAAAAAATTATAATAACTTTAAACTCGTTTCTGCTATGAATTATACACACACTCTCTTTTGTTGTTGAAAATTTTCTACATAGTAAAAATTTATCAAACCCACCTTAATTTTGTTTTAATAAAAATTAAGTCATACAAAATTTTGTTTTAATAAAAAAAGATTTTTTTAATTATTTATCAAACCCACCTTAATTTTGTTTTAATAAAAATTAAGTCATACAAAATTTTGTTTTAATAAAAAAAAGATTTTTTAATTATTTATCAAACCCACCTTAATTTTGGGTATTTTCTCAATATAGTTAATATTCTTGTAACATCTCAGTTTAATGTTGAGTAAAATATAAACCAAACTATGAGGATACCCTACTTAGTGATTGGAGATTCCAAAAATTAGATTCAAACGAATCATAGAATAATTTAATGACATAAACATAAATAAATTAAAAAAAAAATCCCTCCCTATGACGGCAGTCCATGTATCCTTTAACAATAAAGGTGGTTAGATATATGTATACTCTTAATCATGGACAAAGCTACTTAAGTATACAGTGGACCTGTTGTTATTCTCTAATTTTTGGTATATTGACATTTTAGGTCCAGTTTAGTTTAGATATTAGTCAAATAAGACTCTTGTCCTTCTCAATTTTTAAATTTAAATACTTAATAGATTCTTATTCTTTTGATATAAACCAATTTTGTCATAGCAACATTTGATCTTATCTCCATCTATGCTCTAACGATATCTATTACTCGTTTGAGTGGGACGTAGGGTTGCATAAACATACTTGATAAAAGTGCAAAGGTGAGGTTGTTTCTTATGAGAATTAAAGTTTATTTCTTAGAGTATTCATTATAACTATGCCTATAACATGCTAGCTTACAATGGAGGATGTAAAAATTTAAAAATAGAGTCTAACATTTTAATATTTTATTTTTTTTTAAATTTGAATTTGAGTAATTTTATACGAAAAAATAAAACCAGGTATTGAAAAAGAGCTACGAGTAGTAAGGAAATAGAAAAAACAAGTGAAGTAATGGCCACCTAAATTTAGAGACAAAATGAAATGATGGCGTTTGCCACCCACCCCTTTCCCCCCGAATTCAGGGGCCATAGCCTCCCATATTATTATAATATTTACATTATTTCAACTTCAATTCTAAATCTTTGCAAAAGACCCCCCAAAAGGGCTCACGCCATATCATATATAATATTGTTCACTTTTACGTACTAGTGTGACATCATGTCTACGTTACCCCTACATCACCTTGTATCGCCAAAATAAAGAGGGGAAATTGAATTAGCATTGCTTTTTCTGGATTTTTAAAAAAATATAAATTATTCGTATGACCACTTAATTATTTCTTCTTTTTATTTTAATCATTGATTTTAAAATTTTATCAATTATATCATTTAATTATTTGAGTGTGCCAATCAAAACCACATGCCGTTGACATTAACGGAAAAAATTATTTCTTCTTTACCCACGCTGTTTTGTTCAACAATAAACCTCCCTGTAAAGATCGGATTTATGCAATTCAGGACCTATTTTGCTGCTCGAATGGAATTAATGTGTTTGCCTAGCTTTGCTTGTGTATGTGTTGCCTGGTGGAGTGCAGTCTATTGTGGAGTATCTGATGTGATTCATTTAACTATTTAAGTATGTCGATCAAAACTATATATCGTTAACATTAATGAAGAAAGTGACAATTCAATTAAAAATTTTAATAATTATATATT